GTCTCCGACGTACAGACCTTCCATCGATGCCCCACGCCAGAGCCACGGGCGCAGCAGCTGTGCCCATGGCCTGTCCTGTTACAGCTGGGGCACGAGATGCTCCGGCGCGGCGACCCGTTCCGCATGACGTGGGAAATCACCGGGCTGGAGCGAGATGAACTGTTCTCCCCGCTGCCTCTTGTAAGGATACCTGTGACAACAAGCCAGTGATTGCAGGTTGAGTGGACTGCATGTCCGATGTTTGACACTGGTAGCACTTGTTTCAAGCACACACCTGGCACACAATATAAAGAAGAAATACAGACATTCTGTCAGGATTCTCATGTTATGTCACGGTTGTAGTTTTGTATGTCTGGTTATGGGTGTTTTCCTCCTTTGTAAATTGTCTGGTCCTTCTTCCGTGTCTTTCCTCCTTGTCATTAGTCCCCTGGTGTGTCTAGTTGTCTGATTGTGTTCACCTGTTGCCCTTGTGTTTCTCCTCCCCTGCCTGGCTGTTTCTCGTCTCGTGATTACCCCTCCCTGTATTTAGTCTTGTCTCTTCCTGTGTTCAGCGTGGGTTCGTCTTTTGTTGGTGACTGAGTTCACCGGGGAGTGTTCTGTTTGTCCGAGTATCATTATTGTCCTTGAAATAAAGGTAATATCAGTGTTATCTGCATTTGGGTCCTGCTTGCTTCACTCACCGTAACACATTCAACATACAATGCACGTTTTTAAATATTAAAGAAATACCTTGACATTTTACCGCGAGCTACTTGAGAAAACTCTGCCCACCTACAGTAATTAACTTTCTGTGTTTGATCTGTACACAAATAGACACATGAAAAGACAAGTTGTTATTAAGATGTTATGAGCTGTAACTATTGCTTTTCCTCTGCTCCCACTCTTTATATTAAAATATGCCATCCACCTCGTAGTTCTAGCTTTATATTTAAATAGTTTGTAATTAACTTGGATACATATTTGACATAATTCTCTTTAATAAAAGACAGGAAACACAGACATGTTTTAATTAATACCATTCATCTTTGAATCTGAGTTCATTTAACTTCTTTAATTTACTTTGGGAGTAATTTCTATGAAAGGACTCAAATAAAATTAATTTGCCTTATTTAACTTAATATGCAAGATTATATTAAGACACATATTTCAATTAGTTTGTCCAGTGGCTCATTATTTGCCTTCTTAATGCCATTTCATAAACCAATTAGACAGTTTATTCATTATAAGCTATACTATAAATACTACTATTTACACACATATGCAATATATTAAGTGCATTCAAAGTTATTTTATAAATACAAAAATGGTGTTTCAGTCCACTTTCATTATCACTTTTACTCAACTTCAACATTATTTTATTATTAACAAATACATTACCAGTATGACTTTTTCGTCGAATAGCCTTCAAGACACATTGCTAATGTGTTTTTTAAAAGTTAAGAAATGAAGGTCTAAATGAGTTTTGTTAATGTTTTTTGAGTGAAGACCAGACATGATGTGATTTAAAGGGGACCTATCATGCACTTTTGTACGTCTTTTATACATGAATATGTGTCCCCGGTGTGTCAGGGAACTCACCAAGTGTCAGAAAACACAACCCTCTCTTTTCCTCCATACCCAAATCTCTAAAAACGGGGCTGCAACGGATCTGATTATTATTTGAATTTTTCTGACGTCAGGACGGTGGCGCTACGGCTATTGATCAACTCTCCACATATCAGGGGAATGTGGGGTTAGGCCACGGCCGGCCATTGCCGCTCAAAAGCGCTGGAGACGCTGTAGTACATATGCCAGGCCTGTAGGTGGCGCTGTAGTCTGTCACAAAAGCAGAATCAGCCCTTGCAAAAACAGGGCTGGAAAAGAGCAAATAGAGCGAAATGAGGCATGGCTGAAATGCATGATCTGTTTGGTATTTTGAAAAAAAACTTCAC